CACCCCCTCACCTGGTACCCCCCCCCCCCCCCCGCAGTGTATACATCTGAGGTTTTCCACCCAGTACAAGGAAACGTTGTACACATGTAGCCATCTGCTATGAAACCTACACGCATGAGCAGAAACACAGAATGACACTTGGCTGGCCCCAGGTTAAAAGCTAAAGGCTCTAAGGGCGATTACCCTGCAGACCCCACCACCCTAGCTGCCACGGAGGGATGTTAAGGGGGAGGGCCGGGAAGTCAGGGGATCTGGCCTGCATAAAAGAGTATTCACACTGTTCCATGTAAAGATTATTCCTGTGTTGCCCTCACTAAGGACTATCGCAGTCTCAGGGGAATTGCATTGGTTTCCCCCCATGAAAGCATCTATTGAAAGGTTTCTAGCTCCCAGCCATTATGTTTCTTGGGCATAAACCAACCTCTCACAACTTCCTGAGCAGGAGTTAAGGCCACCCAGCTCTCTCCTTACACTGGGCTACCGCCAGCGAGCCAGACTGCTGAAGGCCAGTGCCTGTGCTTTGCTTTCTGCGGGCTATGCCCAGTGTATGGCCTGTAGTTATAGGTTACCGTACAGCTCTTGCTAAGCAAGCACATTCATTCTTAAGGTAACAGCATCACTGAGAAAACACAAAAACAATAGATTTCCTATGTGCATGCTCAGAAGCTTGTCAAATGACACCCCCACGGAACTGGTAGGATTTAGTCCTTCAAAACCCACACCTGAGTTCATTCAGCTTGGATCCAAAACCAGAACAAAGCTGGTAGGTTAGTTCTTTGTACTGCTGAGGCCTTTGAGCTTGACTTTCTGTAACCAGGATCAGCAGACAAAAGGCTGTTCTCAGAGTATAGCTTCAAAGGGTTCCGTTCTTGAACAGCCGGAGTTGGATAATTTGTATTTACCTCTCCCTACGGATTGCCCAGGAAATCCACTTAACACTTCTTGTTCCCAAATCCCAATTTGTCTGGCACATTTTCAGTGTAATCCAGGGGCAGAGAACCTAAGACTCAGGGGCCAGATGTAGCTCCTGGCTTGCCTGGATCTGGCCCTGACGCTCGGGGCTCCCTCAACATTGGGGATCCCAATCAGGTGAGGGGTCGCGGGGGTGGAGGGTTCTCACTTGTGTGTAGCCCCTGACTGATTTTTCTGTGGGTCAGTGGCCCTGACCCCCCAAAAGGTTCTCCACCCCTGCTATAGTCAAACTCCGAGGTCTCACATTCATGGCGTCTCCCCGCAACAAGAAAGGTTCCTTATAATCCTGACCTACAATAATAGAAACATTGAACATGGTGTCAGCCTTATAGTACTATAATCCTATCCTACTTAAACCTAAAATCAGTAAAGAATATTACAAGCAATTGCCCTGTTGGTCACATAGGCCCAGTGGTTTTGCCTTTCCAGGAAGCTGTTGAAAATGACTCCGAAATTCCAGTGTCTGTTAATAAACTGAAAGCTTATATTCTGGTCTGTAGCATCAAATGAATGACTGAGAGAAAACCTGACAAATAACAGAAACCACATCTGTATACACTAAACAGTGAAACTGGAGAAGCCTTTCCTCCCATGAATGATGAGAGAGGAAGCAGAGAGGATTATTTCAACGTAAAAGGAACAAGCTAGCCTTCAAAAATATGAACCTGTTTTATCTAGCGCTCGGAACACGATCAGGGTCCAATTGCTTTCCTTTCCAACACACGGATCTAAGAGGCATGAAAGCATTATAAAATAGAAAGATCTCTGCTGATGTTGCAATTTATGTTGCGGCTTGCTGACACCTGGCTGAAAAGGTTTTTATGACTGTCTCCACCCACTAGTCAATATATTTGTCTGTTGTACTCCCTTCATCCTCCTTTCCTTCCTGAAAAGCCAGTGGATTAATATGTGCGGAGTATTGCACAGAACATTTAACTCGATCTAGAATGTGGACACTCTGGCTCTTACAATGCATTTTAATTTTATGCTCTCTCACACCGGATGCCACAGAGTAAGTAGCAGGGTCCTGAATGTATCTTCATGCAGCTACTTGGGATAATGTTAAAGGCAAATATGCATTTCGCCCTTTGAAATGAAGGATATTATTCAAATGAATCTGTTATGTTGAAAATAAGGCAATAATTTCATTCTATTGAAACCTGTTTTGTGTTGGTCACTGGCCATGATAAAGCTCTGGAACACATCTGGATTGCACCATGGCACATCTGGGGGAGGGGAGAGAACTTGAACAAATGGTCCACTACGTTATCAGATTCTTTTTGAGTGCCGTGAACTTAAGTGCCTGTCTGACTGTCTTGCTAGCCAGATATTTCTAAGATGCGTATCACTATGGAATCTGAATGCAGTGCAATGAGTTAAAGACCGTACTGAGCGCACTTTAAATGGTGATATTCTTCCAGCTTGGTCGTGTTCCTGGAGTCTAGGGTTGGGTGGCTCCGCTTGCTTTGGTTTGCCCATCTTCAGTCTTCAGCTTTCCTGCTTAGCTGTAAGGCAGCGTGCTTCAGGAAGCCTTTTCTAGTTACCGTGTGTTTCCTTACTTCATGCCTCTCTGCTGAATGCTATCATTGGTTCCTATTGTGCTTGTTATTGCTTAGATTTGAATGGTAGATAATTTACTGGACAAGTGTGAGGTATTCACTTGAGGACTTCTCCACCCCACTTCAGGCCTGAATGAAGGGGCTTGAAGAAGGGTTACCATGGAGACTGGAGGAAGGAAACAGAATCCTGACTCTCACTAGCTATAGAGCATCAGGAGAGTCAGTCCAGAGCTGCTGTGGCAGCCTTAACCTGTCTGCCCTCCACTTCTCCTTGTTCCACATTCCCGCTGCTGTGTATGGGGTGCAGAGTCAATGGATCTGATAACCGGAGAGACAGCCTTCCTGCTCCATGCTGGTGCTCAGATCCCAGCTTTGGCTCTGGCCTGTATCTACCGTGCTCGGGGCTTTCTTATGTCTGTAGCACTGCCAGGTGTGCATGGGGCATTACACGCATATGGTAGGACGGGTCCCTGCCTGGAGGAGCCTTTGATGGAGTTTAGGGAATGGGTCGCAAGGCCTGATGAAGGTGGTAGAGCGTGTGGAGAAGGTGCAGGAAAAACAGGCATTCTAGCAATGGCCACGAGACATATTCTGGCTAAGTGCACATCGAAACGGCAGGATGTAAGCCCCGTTTGGATAGCAGGAAGCGAAGACACAGTCTGTGAGGTAGCGGTGAATCAGCCTCTTTATCTGAACTCTGCCTTGTCCAGTGATCCCTCAGCCAGATCCCAACCACGAGAGGGGCACCAGTTCCGTCCCCACAGTGTCGGGGAGCCCCCGACCCTGCACCCCCATCCACAGCCAGATGTGACTGTCTGCCAGCCAGTGGAGTAAAAAGGGTTTGTTGCTTCTCCGAGATACAGCAGGCTCCATGTTGACATAGGAGCCAGGGCAGAGCCTTAGTCCTTTCGGGGGGAGGGGTTCACAGGCGGCTGAACCCCCCCCTCATCTTGGGCTTAGTCTGCTTCCTTCATTCTCCCCCCAGTTAAGAATGCCCCTTCTCCCAGCCACCTGTCACTCACCCCCTTCCTTTGTTCAGCAGACAAGGAGTTGAATCTCTACCATATGATGAAGAGAACTCGGCTCGTTTCTGCCACAGCCCCACAGCCGTAGGAAGACACAATGAGACCTTGTGGTGCAGCTGTGAGAGGGACCTTGGCTCTGGCAATAAACAAACTAAGAGGGTGTAGAAAGACCATCTGTCCTCCGGGCACCTTGCCCCAGGAGCACTGAGGGCTCTCCCTTTCCTTCTAAACAAAGGACAGGGCTGTGCAGCCCTTTAGAGGCTAACAAGATGGTTTACTAGATAATGAGCTCATCACCTAATAAACCATCTTGTTAATCTTTAAAGGGCTGCACAGTCCTCTCTTTCGTTTCAGCAAGACCAGACTGACAGGGCTACATCTCTTTGCCTTTCCTCTCTAGTGTGTGGTGTTAAAACTATTGCTTTTCTGACAACGTTTTAAAGTGCACATGAATGTTATTGAGCATTTTCCTTGGCAGGCTCAAGCAAAGAGAAACAAGCAATGGCTTTGGACCCTGGGATCCTGGGACAGGTATTTACCTCTCTCTCTCTCCCTCCCTTTTATTGTTAATGTCCTATAAATCGCAGGGCTAGAAGGGACCGCAAAGGTCCTGTAGCCTAACCCCCTGCAAAGATGCAGGCTGTGTTGTGTTTAAACCAGTGGTTTTCAAAGGATGGGTTGTGACCCAGTGCTGGGGGGTGGGTTTGGTTTCTGCAGGGGGATCAGGTGAGCAGTGGGGGAGGGAAGGGGTGAAGGCTAAAGTGACTCCCTGCCTGTCCCTGCACCACAGACTGTGCCATGCTCCAGAAGCGGCTGGCAGCAGGCCCTGCTCCTGGCAGGGAAGGGAGAACGCACAGGGGCAGGGCTCCGTGCACTGCCCCTGCCCCGAGCACTAGCTCCACATTCCCATGGGCTGGGAACCTGCTGCCAGCTGCTTCTGGGGGCAGCCTGGTCTGTGGTGCCAGGAGAGGCAGGAAACTGCCTTAGCCCCCCCACCCCCCCGCTGACCAGGAGCCATTTGAGGTAAACCCCTCCTGCCCCAGCCCTGACCCTCCCCAGAGGCAGAGTCCCCTGTTACGGGCCAGAGCTCCATGCTCAGCCCTGCCTTGGAGCCCGTGCTCCGGCCACATTCTGTTGGGCTGCAGCAGCAACAATTTTCTTCCATGGAGTCATGAGAAAAAGAGTTTGAAACCCGCTGGTCTAACCCACCCAAGACAGGTGGCTCCAGTCTCCTTTGGAAATCATCCAGTGAAAGGGCTTCCCCAGCCAACCTGTGCAGTTTGCTCCATTGTCCTGCTGTGCTTACAGGAAGGAAGTTTCCCCTGAAATGTAATGTATCAGTGCTGCCCAGCAAGCATTATCCTTTAATCCCATGCTGCATTTCAGCTTACATCGCCTGGTGTGATTTTAACAACAACTCGAGACCGTTTTGTGACTGGACCCTGCCCTGTAAAGTGAACCAAGGAGCCTGGATAAGAACTAAGCATGCCACACCAACCATGGGAACGGGGCCCGATGGAGACTACCCCGATGGAAGTAGGAACTCATCTATAACCCCATTCATTTTCCTCTAGATGTGACATCTGCTGGGCTTTTCTTCCTTTCTTAACAAAATGAGGCTCATTAAGCTTTTAAAAATGTTCTTTCTGCTGCTAATTTGCTTTCCTGACTTTGCTAAATGCAAGTTTCTTTGTCAATCACAGACAAATTAACCCAATTTTTTGTACTATTTCGTTTCATGTAAATTTCAAAATTGCACCTTTTCATCCTGTTTCACTATAAAAATAAATGTTGGCATTTCCTGCAGGTTGCAAAATCAGAATTTTGCTCCGCTGTAGAGCAGAGATCTTAAAAGTGAACTTAGGTGCTGCAGGAGGGAGTCAGTAGTTGATAAGTTTCTGAGTCAGAACAGAACCACGCATGGCAGAAGGGGGTACTATGCCATATTTTAGAAGTGACATAAAAGGTTTTGACTAGGTGTGGTCATGAAAAATTCCATAGCACTGCTTGTACGAAATGGGGTGTTTTAACTCTGGTCTCCAGATTATATTCAGGTCTGAGTAATTGCTTTCTGCCTACAACTGCCAGAAACAATATTCACTTCATTTCTCATCCCTATTTGTAATGTAGTGTTGCTCTGTGCTATTAAATAGTGTCCAAGCCCTACTCTAGACATGGTTAACACTTTAATTTTAAATTACACCTGTAAAACACCAGGATTTTGCAATTGATTTGCTCTTTTCACCCTACAGGTGGCTATTTTATTTACCAAGAGGCCAGTAACCTCATCCCATTTGACACCAACAGGATTGAGAGCCCTGAAATTGTGGTTTCTGGAGACATATGCATAGACTTCCAGTATCACATGTCTGGGTCAGAGGACCAGAATGAGCTTAAAGTGATTGTCCAGAATGAGGGACTGGAAGATCTAGTGTGGAGTCGGAAGGGAAACCAGAGTTCTTCTTGGATGCATGGTTTCACCACTGTTCCCTTTCCGAATGAGAGAAGGATAAAGGTAATTACACTGGGAACATACTACTAGAATCCAAGAACACAAGGGCTGGAAGAGACCTCAGGAGTCATCGAGTCCAACCCCAAAGCAGGACCAACCCCAATTAAATCAATCCAGCCAGGGCTTTGTCAAGCCAAGACTTAACAACCTCTAGGGATAGAGATTCCACCCCCTCCTTAGGGAGCCCATTCCAGTACTTCACTACCCTCCTAGGGAAACAGTTTTTCTGAATATCCAACCTAGACCTCACCCACTGTAACGTGTCACGACTGAGAACAGCCTCTCTCCATCCTCTTTGGAACCTCCCTTCAGGGAGTTGAAGGCTGCTCTCAAATCCCCCCTCACTCTTCGCTTCTGCAGACTAAACAGACCCAAGTCCCTCAGCCTCTCCTCGTAGGTCAAGTGCTCCAGCCCCCTAATCATTTTGGTTGCTCTCTGCTGGACCCTCTCCAATGCATCCACATCCTTTCTGTAGTGGGGGCAGGGGGCAATTGGACACAATATTCCAGATGTGGCCTCACCAGAGCCTTCTTGGCTACAAGGGCGCACTGTTGACTCATATCCAGCTTCTTATCCACTGTAACCCCCAGGACCTTTTCTGCTGAACTGCTACTTAGCCAGTCGGTCCCCAGCCTGTAACAGTGCTTGGGATTCTTTCATCCCACGGACAGACTCTGCAGTTGTCCTTGTTGAACCTTCTCAGATTTCTTTTGGCCCAATCCTCTAATCTGTCTAGCTCACTCTGTATAGTATCTGCCATGTTTTTGCCCTGCCCTTGCAAGCTTGAAGGAGTTGTGCCAAAAATCAAGAAAATCTTGGTTACATCTTGAGATACAACGATCTTAAATAAAATGCTCGGTAGTTACATTACAATGACAGTGTCATGACAGTGTTTGTGCCCCACTCCTCCGAGTACTCCTCCTGCTATGTTAACCGCATGGCAGAGTATAACTGAGAGCTGCTTTGGCAATACACACACAAAATAATGGGCTCTTAACTAGCTGCTACCACTCAAAAAAGATTTTAGAGTCGCTGTGGCTAGTTTTCTGAAAACATCCATTCAATGTGCAGCAGCAGTCAAAAGAGCTAACAGAATGTTAGGAAGCATTAGGAAACTAATAGAGAACAAGGCAGAAAATATCACGCCCTCTATATAAATCCAAATACTGTGGGCAGCTCTGGTTGCCCCATCTCAAAGAAGATATTTTGGAATTGGAAAAGGTACAGAGAATGACAACCAAAATGATGAGAGGTATGGAACAACTTCTGTATGAACAGAGATTAAAAAGATGGGGACTTTTCTGCTAGGAAAAGAGATAGGTAAGGCAGGGAGACATGATAGAGGTCTGTAAAATCATGACTGATATGGAGAAAAGGAACAAGGAAATGTTATTTACTCGTTCACATAACACCAGAAATAGAGGTCACCCAGTGAAATTAATAAACAGGTTTAAAATCAACAAAAGGAAGTGTTTCTTCACACAACACACAGTCAACCTATGGAACTCTTTGTCAGGTGATGTTGTGAAGGCTAAAATTATAACAGGGTAAAAAAAGAACTAAGTAAATTCACAGAGGATAGATCCATCAGTGTTTATTAGCCCGGCAGAACTGGGATGTAACAGAATGCTCTGGGTGTTCCTAGCCTCTGTTTGCCAGAAGCTGGGAGAGAATGACAGGGGATAGATCACTGGGGGTAAATCTACATTGAAGGGCTTAACTCGAAATAAGCGACACAAATTGAACTATGTCTATTGTGTATCTTATTTCGAAATAGGGAGCATCTACATAGCACTTATTTTGAAATTTAGCGCTCTTCCTCCCACTTCCCTTACTCCTCATACAATGAGGGTTACAGGAGTTGGAGTAAGAAGTCCTCCAGCTTGACACTATTCTGACACTATTTCAAAATATCTGCCTGCTGTGTAGATGTGGACTAAGTTATTTCGAAATGGCATTGCTGTGTAGACTTACCCTTGATGATTCCCTGTTCTGTTCATTCCCTCTGGAGCATCTGGCATTGGCCACTGTCAGAAGGCAGGATACTGGAGTAAATGGATCGTTGCTCTGACCCAGTGTGATCAGTCTTATGCTCTTAATTAGGGTGTAACCACAATGTAGTTTATGAACCTGGATTCTAAAATGATATCCACTAGGAAAGATGTGAGAATGAGTGAGTTAGCCATGCTGTTAGCGTCAATCATTTACATCCATAGTAACTGTCAAAAAGCATAAGCACAATATATTTACACTATAACTGGACTTCAATTACATGATAATTTAAGATCACTGTACAGGCAGTCCCCGGGTTACATGGATCCGACTTACATCGGATCCCTACTTACAAACGGGGTGAGGCAACCCCACACTAGCTGCTTCCCCCCAGCAGACCAGGGAGACACGAAGCTAGCGCCCCCTCCCCAGCAGACCAGGGAGACACAGAGCAGCATTTCTCAGAAGACACCTCAGCTTGAGAATAAAGGACTGAGGGAAGTGAGATGTGGGAGATTAAAACTGAGCTCTGGAGAAATGTTTGGCTAGAGTTTCCCCTACAATATGTACCAGTTCCGACTTACATACAAATTCAACTTAAGAACAAATTTACAGTCCCTATCTTGTACGTAACCTGGGGACTGCCTGTACTATAAAATGTAACCAAAATATTCTGCTACAAAAGCTGTTATGGGAGAGGGGAGGAATTTGGAACAATTCCCATTTTGGCATATTCCTGCCCTTGAAATTTCAGTAACTGCTTAAAATATACATCAGATAACTGCCATCTGAATAAATTGTTTATTTCAAATACTCTTGTAATCTGCTGGCTTTTTAGACATTGCCATCCGCTATAGCACCTTGGAAGTATCATAAGACTGATGTACACTTATACATGCATACATTATCTTATACTTAAGTTGTAAGGTTGGGATCAGAATAGTCTTTTTGTCATGTATTTGTTCATCACCTTGTACAATGTAGCCTTGGTCTATATACAGTAAAACTCCATTGGTCCGGCATCCAATGCTCCGGCACTCCTGATGGTCCGGCACCATTGGGAACCCAAAAGTGCTCGGCAGCCGGACCATTGGAGCTGCTCTGTGCCCGGCTTCCCCGATTCAGCCGCTGCTGAAATTGACAAGCAGCTGAATCAGGGAAGCTGGGGGCAGAGCAGCTGGGGTGCTGCTGGGTTGGTCCCGCAGCGCCGCCCTCTCCCACGCTGTGCAGTTCCCCGCTGACCCCTCCTAGCCCCCCTTCC